TCTGGGTTTATAAGTATATAGGCTAAACTGTCTTCTTTCGATTACTAAAATCGCAAGTCTCTATCTTTTATGGTCTTTGAGTTATTGAAAAACACTTGCCTACCTTATATTTTATACAGTGGGCCCTAGGAAAACCTCTGAGAAAACCTCAAAAACCATTCATATAGTATCACATCATATGTATACTGAAAGTAGACACTTCAGGCTATCTTTCCATGTGCTCGTCTCATTTGGCCGAAAATCATTATTTCCGAGGGAGGGTCTCTCCTTAAACAACAGTAACCAAGACTCTCCACATTCCTGAACCGCTTATCTCGGGTGCTGAACATGTGGTAGTCGGGAAATTTATACTGATAATCCAGAAAATCATGCGCAACAAAACTGCCGACTCAGATTTTTTAAAAATCATTTTCATTTTTTCTCGTCAATTTTAAAACGCGGTTGCAATTCACTTATATATATATATAGATCACTGATCGACACACTAGCGAAGAAAAAAGTGTGTTTCTTTTTTTGTTTTCGTTCATTCTGCGATTATTCAAAGAGTAAAATAAAACTTCTTCATGATTAGAACTGCGACCAGTAGCGATTTTCTTTTTTCTTTTGTTTTTTATTCCGTATATAGCGCTGCGACTGCCATACGAGAACACCAGAAAGGATTCGATATAAGTCAAATTTTTGTAGACAGCTACGCTACAGCGATGTGTAGAATGTGCATTTCACCAGATAGGCACTTGATATCCTTTTGGTCTGCACTTAACCTTTGGTAACATTTTCTGCTGCGTTTCATAAACAACAGGCAACATATCTACCAAAGTTCTCAAAATTTTTGATCGGAAGTAGTTTCAGTGAAGAACGTCAACGGTGTCCATAGTTTTCCCCTAGTCTTGTAGGTGATCACAAAAAAAATGAAAGAGAAGTAGATTTGTTTAGGTAAACTAAGAGGAAGGCCTCAAAATCCCCGAAGATAAACACTATGTATTTTGTTTTTTATTTCACTTGATTTTTCAATTTTTTCAATTCTTCGAAAATGAAGAAAGTACATCTTAAAAACACAAGAAAAAATTCATCTAACAAAGAGAAAAGATCTGACAAAAAAGTCCACAAACAAAATGCTTTCACCAAAAAGAAAGATAAACAAGAAAATTTGCAACCAAAAAGCTTGTTCTCTCAAAATAACGCATTCTATAACACAGTAGAAGAAAAATATAAAATACTTGTTCAAAAATCTGTTCTTCTTCATGTGGACGCTTTCTAACTGTTCGTGATATTGTTAACTGTTCAAATGATCATCATAAATAAATGGATGGTGGATTAAAAGATCTTAGAATGAAAGAATTGGACAGTTGTTGTGACGTTGAAGACGATGATGGAGGCATTAGAATAATACGTGGTGTTTGTGCGGCTGAAGACGATAGGACTAGCACGATATTAGTTAAATTCTCAAATGGTATTCGATTTTGAAAGATAGGTGTTGCTGTTGTTGTAATCTTCTTCGTTGGTGGAAGAGTAAAATATGGTGAAGTTTGAGTTTGAAATGTTGATGAAACAGTCTGTCATTTATTGACTAATTCAGTTTGATACTGTTTAGCAGCAGCACGATCGGCTAAAACGAAAGAAACGAGAAAAGAATATATAGATTAGTAAACAGAGATAGAAGAAACATTTTTCTCCCTTTGCGAACACTCTCAAAGCCACATCGCAAAGCTACTTCGCAAACAGATTTGATATTCGTGCCTATAGGAAGTTATTATATTTGCTATTAGAAACCGAGAATGCTTTTCGCCCTTTGCGAACACGTGTTCGTAAGGTGATTTCGCAAAGGAATCTGTCCGTTGGAAAGACTCCGGTATCTTTGATCCGCCTTTGCGAAGACGTGTTCATAAAGCTACTTCGCAAATACATTTCCTCTTTGGGAGAATGTACATAAGCGTTTTCATTTCCACTTGTGAAGAGGTCTTCGCAAAGACTAAAAAACGTCCCACACTCACAAAATATAATTTACCTTATAAAGTAGCTTTACGAACACGTCTTCGCAAAGGCGAATCAAAGATACCCGAGTCTTTCCAACGGACAGATTCCTTTGCGAAGTCACCTTACGAACACGTGTTCGCAAAGGGCGAAAAGCATTCTCGGTTTCTAATAGCAAATATAATTTACCTTTGCGATGTAGCTTTACGAAAGGGTGTTCGCAAAGGCGAAATAACTTCCTATAGGCACGAATATCAAATCTATTTGCGAAGTAGCTTTGCGAGCACATCTTCGCAAAATTGATTTCTTTTTCAGCAGTGTAAGTCTTAAAAATATTCTCTGTTTGCGTAGACCACTTCGCAAAGCTATTTCGCAACAGCAAATCTCGAACGTGAAAACTAACTGTTTCTGACTGCGAAGCTGATAGAAAAAAGAAAAACTTACTACGATTCGGTCTTTTGTTACCACTACCACCTTCTTTGTCTTGTATACGTCGTCGTTTTCGTTCTTGACCCAAATTAATTTATCTATCTTGTTCTGATAAGGGTATACCCAAATAGACCTTTACGGCTGAGACCTAAACGACGCAGAAGAAAAACAGAAAATGTATTTTGAGTGAAATTAGCTGAAGCTTTGACTTACGTGCGAGCAGTTGTTCATTCTGTTACTACAGCTACATTTGAGTCCAACTTTCAAGTCATGGAAATGTACACAATAGGCGTTACGTTGGTCCATGCTTCGGATGTTGGAAACCTTACTCTTTGGATCAAAGGAGAGTAAAGCCAAATCTTCAATCATTTGTGCTTTTTGTTCTACTGTCATGCTGCATCTTTTGACATTGTCATTTGCTTGGTTGAATATTGTTGATGACAAGGTGGTAGTTGTTGAATTGAGATTTTCGTTTGTTTCCTCTTCTTCAATGATAGAATTGTCATTGCTATCTATATTTGAAAAAGAAGACTAAAAGAAAACAAAACTTATGAATAAAGAAGAAAATTTATTAGGAACACTTTCTTACCGTGAAGTTAGTCGAACTGGTCGTTTGTTTTTGTTTCTCGACAGATTCTTTAATCTTAACCAAAATTTGATCAATGTCGTAACATTTAGTTGTAGTTAATAGACCAGAATCACTTGAAAATTGACGATAACCAGTTTTTAAACGATACGACCCTAAAAGGTAAGACCACGAGAAATGCAGTGTTAACATGTTAATTAGCTTCAAACTTACCTGAGCCACAATAACCTCGACGAATCTCATTGACATAGAACCTCATGAAGCTATACGATAACGTTATAAATCTGTCGATCGATACCTAAAAATAACTCCAAAAACTAGTGGTGATAAGTACCTCTTTCTTTGAATGTTGTAACATACTTCTTTCCATTGAAGCCATTTCTCCACTGTGGCATTCATACTTTCAGCTGGATTTGCAGTAGGTGGTGAGCAGTTCATTTCGTCCCAGAGGCAAACGTACGAGCATGCCACTTTCCTGTAATAATAACAAATAAATTTTACTCAGCAACTATGAAAAAGTGAACTAGTGTTGACCTTACCTAACTCATCCACATGTGTTAAATGATTTCGCTGAAAATAAGTTCGAAATGAATTTGACCAAGTGGATTTGACGTGTTCATAAGCTGAAATTGAGAAACAATATTATGAATATAGTTCAGCAAAAATAAGCGCAGTCTTACCTAATAAAAACTGTTCTTTTGTATCACAAGATAAAATTTGGTTCAAACTATTCAAATGTCTGTCCATATATTCATCGGAATGGGTATTGCCACTCTCTGAGGGTGTCAACAAGAGCCGTCGTATTTTTACTTTTGGGCGTAAGTACCAGTACACTTTATGAATTTCTTAACATTGAAGTTCTAAGATTGTTTTTCCTAAGGCACAACTGGTTATTGAAGTTGTGGAGGTCAGCATGAATCAGTGCTTGCATTGCTATTGG